AATTACATCAGATATAAGGAATATCTTGGCGGTCGTTGGGGCTTCGAGTCATTCACAGATCTTCATTTTTTTTCAATATTAACCGCATGTACACATAGTTTTAAAGTGAAAATATTCTTGAACTAAGTCATGTTCAGGTTAATAAACATCTAACGGATAAACGGTTAGGCCCTCGTTGCATCATACATGGCTGAGTTCATGTACAGCACACAGTGAAGACCTGATTCCAAGGTGTATAATTAATTGCGGGGGACAACAGCCACATTAATTCACACTGACAGTACTAGGTGGAGCATTTTAGTTTTATACTGTATATCGTTTCTGAAGTATTTGTGTTGTTCCCCAGTTGTTGGCAGCCAACCAGCTGTTGCAGCAGACACAGCAGCCCTATAGCTACCTGATAGAGACGGTGAGACAAAGAGACACGCAGATCAACACACTGAAGGAGCGTCTTTCCTCGCTCCAGGACGAAGTCAGGTACAGAACACGCCGTTCATAAAAAGAAACACTTCCTTCTATAGAAGAAGGAACAGAACAGAAAAGAAAGTTACCACACGTGACCTTTTTTCTAATCGATGGCTATTAAGTCTGTTCTGTCTTGCTTGTCGAACATTTTCTTTGTCAATTTAATTGGTTACATTCTGTGTCTTGTAATTTACTCTTCATGGCAGCAGGCCATAACTACTCGCCCTTGGGCGTCTCTGCTTTATAACAACCTCCATTTAAACCTTGTTTGTCCATATCACATCTATCTCTTTCTGTGTTTGTGCAAAGCTGATTGTGCAAGAGCCTGTGTATGTAAAGAAAGAAAACGTATGTAAACCATACAAAGAGTTTGTCTATGCCCAACAAGTGAGTGTTTCACATCAGCATACATTTAGCTTCCTGGCACTGACCTTAATCTCCCCTGGCCCCCTCTGTATTTGAACCTGAGAAATATGCAAACTGACAGACTGCATGTTTTCTCTTGCTGCTCACTACCACTGGGCGCTCACCTGGGGCAAGCAGCAGAGCGAAAAAGAATCCTTTAAAATCCCCATAAGCTTCTCAAACCTCCCCACCTGACAGAGATATTGAAGTCTTCCTGTGGCTGTGCGGTGCCATCTGTTCAACAGCTGATATACCTATTCTTACTTTATGTTTTTCAATCCCTCTCTGTCTTAGGTCATAATTGTATTCATAGTTTGTTTGGTGATGTTCAAAGTTGAGGCAGATCTCAGGCTATAAGATTGGTGACACTGCTGCAGTTTCAAGATTTGCAAGATGATTTGCTTGAAAGCCCCCTCCATCACAAGCTCCTGCTTGTATGTTTCACAGCCGCAGGAAGGAACACCTGAACAGTGCTGAAGAGTTTTCTCAGAGAATAAAGTCCTAATAAACGTTCAAAGTTGATGGTTTCATGCGAGGTTATTTATGGTCACAGACAGTGCTAGTAAACACGAGTGCTGTCTTTTCTGGGCTGATTGGTTTATAGCCAGCATTTCTTGTTGAACGTAAACCATAATAATACCATTGGCGAGTTTGGGTATATTACTTTATTACAGAGAAAATAATACCCTGTCTTTAAGAATGTATAAACGTCATCATGTTTCACAGAACCCAACTAGAACATTAAATTAATAACTCTCAGTAAGTACAGTCATGTTTTTTCGTTTAACTCAAGATCTGTTCTTATTGTTTTTGGTTGTAACCCCAGTTCTCTGAGAAAAGAACGGACCGCACTACAACAGGTGAAAAACAACATGGCAGCCGATCTAGAGAGACTCCTCAACCATCGGGAGGTACACATGATAACAATGCTTTTTTTATTTTTAATGTTTGATGGTTTCCTCCATGATGACAACAAGCTTCTGTTGTCCAATCAACAGTTAAATAGTTAATTCAAGACAAATAAAAGCAACTAATCTTGCATTTGAGAGCATGAAACCATTTTATATTTGTTAGGTTTGCTTGAAAATGACAACTGCTTAATCTATTATCAAATGAGTCACTGAATCTATTTCCATCAATTGTTTAATTGATAAATAAAATGAACGTTGCAACTCTTAATTGAGCAGGCTTTTAATAGTCAGACAACTTATTTCTCTGGGTTGCAACGCTTCCTTCAAGATTGCGTGTGCTCGTGTGTGAGTGCATGTTGGGAGTGAGTGTCCCCCCAGCCAGCCGTTTGCTGTTTGAAGTATGTGCCCTGTCACAGACAGCTGTTCCCCTGTTTGGCTGCTTGGGATGCCACCGTTGTGCGTGTGTGTTTCTGTATGTGTGTGTGTGTGATAGTGCATGTATCTGACATGCCATTGCTCATGTCCTCAGGGGTGATAAATAGAACCGTGAAAATGGTCCAGAGTCCTTCCCTCTGGCTAACCCCGCAGACCCTTCAACTTGTTGAGCTTAATGCAAGTCGTCCCATAGTTAAAGTTAAGAGGACAAACATGTCAACAGAAAGCAGCAATAAAAATTCCTGGAAACAAACATTGATGCAAATGAATCATCAAATGTTGAGGAAGTATTAGCTTAAAAGATATGATCATTTTTGCATTAAAGGTATTACAATCCTAATAAATATTTGTAAAATATTGCTTATATCAGAATCTAAAGAAAACTCATTGCCAAGTCGTTTACATACAAGGAATTCAGTTTAAAAAAAAGTACCAAATATAGAATTATAAGAAAACCAATTAAAAAAAAAACCAAAAAAAAAACCGATTACATATATTCCAAATTACTCAAATATTACAGCTTATCATAATTTAGTGTGGTAGATCTATGCCGTTTTGAAGAGGTATTGTGCAGAAATGATCAATATACTGTATACAGAGGAATGTTTTGTTCACCCCTGTCGGATTTGCACTCAGCCAAAAAATTATCTGGCGGTTTAGTTGAGATTTTTTTGCATTTTGGAAAATTAAACTGAGGTATTTTTCATAAAGATTCATGTTTATTGTTCTCCTATTATTTCCACATCCCTATTTTTCTGAACCATGTGATTCTGCAGGAGTTAGCGGTGATGAAGCAGGTCCTGATCAGCATGCGGTCCGGACAGGGAGACGCTGTAACCCTATTGGAATCAGATAAAGCTGCAGGGAAACACCAGTCCAAACGTATCAACAGGACCACAGAAGAAGAGTCGCCAAACAAACCCAAACCCACTGTGTTTGTAAGTGTCTGACAGAACAACGCCCTTGTATGAGTAACAGCACCTTAACCTGCCTGGACAGAAGTTCACACAAAGGAGCAATACAGGTTCACAGGAAAATAAATGGTATTTTTGCCATTTAGTTTCAATTGAGCTTTTCACTACAGTCAGCTGAGCAAATAGACACTGTAGTATACATCCTTGAATCATGAGAAAGTCAATTATGTGAGATGTTAAGAAAAGCTCCTGCTGGCACATCCTTTTCTAACATGTTTTACTCTTTTTTTTTTTATTTGCAGACAAACAAAGAAGCTCCTAATTGGCACCAAAAGATGAAGCAGAAATCCAAATGAAAATATTTATTTTTATTTTACGGCTTGTTTTATTAATTTATCAAGAATTTTCCAATGTAAAAAACTTTTGATATACAAAAGCAGAAATCGTTGCTGGTGTCCAATTGTTTTGTTGTTCTCATCCTTGGTTACATATTGTTCAGAGAAGATATATTCCCAGAGTACTGGTTCAATAAGTATTACCTTCCACAAAATACTCATTCCTGGCTAACTGGCTGCCCAAAAATTCCTCTATCTTGGCACTGTTGTTTTTTATTAGGTCTGTCTATCATTATTTCCTCATCTTTTCCAGGTTTGCAGATAGTGGTGGCTACAGACAAACAGCATTGCTGGAACATAAGCCGCTGATTTGAACGAGCTGAGGCTCCTTTGGCTTTAAATATAGACATAGTAGACATACCTCTATCATTTCAGACCACGTTCTTATCGGTGTCAAATTAAACTCAACCAGAGGATTGCTTAGAGGCTGTGTTGTTCATTTCTTTTGAGCATAAAAGACTTCACAAACAACCACTTTGTTTTTTTGTTAAATGAGCTAGGTTAAAATATAATAACTTGTTTTTGTAAAAGCTTATTATATCCTACACTGTATACATGTTTTTTTACAAATTAAAATGTGTGAGTGCAGCCCCTTGCAGATGGTATTTTCCAAAATAAACTTAGTGATAAACTGCGATTTCTAACACCATCCAGTTCACATTAAAAGAATGACCTGTTTAAAAAGTAGTTTTTACTCCTTATTTTGCTTATGAAGTTCAGTTTACATGTCAATGGAAATGCTATACCCAACATGAGAATATTGATTTATAATGAGTTAAAAAAAAAAAATAGTCTCCGATCGCATTTTAAAGTCTGTATTACCAACTGGTGGTGTGGGGTTTGAAATAACCGGACATTTAGGAGGCATGTGGGTCTAGT